CTGTGTCCTTTATGGTCTTACGCAATGGGGCTACACATGATTTGGGACTTAATCAGGCTATACCGGGGCCATTTTCCACTGGATGGCATATATGATGTCATGACACTTAAGCACCAGTAAGATATATTTTGACATTTTACTTCCCTTTCCTGTTCTTTTGTTTCCTCTTCTGTAAATATGGAGAAAGATGATGAGATTTCTGTCCATACAGCCCTGTCTTCATTATAAGTATTTGTGAACTGTTCTGAAGGTAGCAAGTGAAATATTGCTGTAGGAAAGGCCCACTAATGCTATTTACCAGGCTGACATCATACTTCAAGGCACACTTCTTGCTATGCTTTGCCACTTCAGATTTCTGGTGACAGATTATGTTAATGAATGGAACACTTGCTACACACATGTTGCAATCCTAAAGATACTTTCCTTAGATTAAGCTCCTTTGAATAACATAGGACATATTTCTTCACAGATCTAGTTAAGATTGCTCCCATAGAAAATTAGCAGTTCTCCATGACTTAGTATATTTCTTTTTTATATGCCAGGGCAGGAGTTGTAAGGGGAAGCATTTAAACATGTGATGCCTCACTATCATTCTGAAATGGTACAGTCCCTTTGTGTTTTGCTAATCATGATGTTTATCTTTCAGAACTGGAGCTCCTGTTATGGTCAGTGTGGGTGGCTGCCAATAACAGCTCAGCCCACAACAGTTAAGCATACTCAACTAATTATTCATCTCTATCATCTTGTAAATATCTATGCCTTCTCTAGTGATTACTACTCCACATAGGGGTGTAAGGTTGAGACTCGCAATATGATTAGCAAATGTTAATATAAGGACAAGGATCCCTCACCACGGGCAGGCTGTTTTGACTCGTGGCATATATGATGTGTGTCCTGGCTTTATTGCTAGTACTTTGGACTGACTAGCCAAAGTGGCATGGAAATATGGTCATGTTGTATGGATCATTTTCAGCTGGTAAGAACTGATGACATGGACAAACAGTTTAAAAGTGTGTGACCCATCATGTCTAGATTCAGCTCTTGCCCGTCATGGTTGTTGCTATCAAGCCAGTTTGGGTGAGTTGAGTGGGTCTAGGACAATGATGGCGAACCTTTTAGAGACTGAGTGCCCAAACTGCGACCCAAAACCCACTTATTTATTGCAAAGTGCCAGCGCGGCAATTTAACCTGAATACTGAGGTTTTACTTTAGAAAAAACAACTCATACATTAACTTAAGATGATCCAAACAAAGTAAGGAAAGCAATCCCAAATGCTTTCATTTACTTAAAATTATTTGGCAGAGAATTCGACACTTTAATGATGGTCTGGGCCTGGCTGGGGCGATGGCACATGTGCCCACAGAAAGGGCTCTGAGTGCCACCTCTGGCACCCATGCCATAGGTTCGCCACCACTGGTCTAGGAGGTAAGAAATGCCTCTCTACAGGGGGGTGTAGTTCCAACCACCTTGAAAGAGTTGGTCATGACACCGCTCCTGAAGAAGGCACCAACATTCCATTTTGGGGGCAAGGTGCTTCAGTGGATTGTGGCTATACAGCTTCAGATAGTCTTGGCAGAAGCAATCTAAACCCATTTCAATCCAGACTCAGGCCTGAGTTTTGTATGGAAATTCTCGGTCACCTGGACTGAAGATCTCTGCTGGGAGAGTGATGGGGAAGTTAATCCCAGTAAATTCTCCTGGACCTCTCTGTGGCATTTGATACCATTGACCATGAAAGTTTTATTTATTTTGGTTTATGTTAGCTAGGTTTCAGGAAAAAAATATCCTGAGGGGGGACAGGGGAAGCCTGTCCTTCAGGGGAGCTGCATGGATTTGCTTTATTAATATGCTTTGTGTCGAGGTAGACTTTTTAATCTGTTGGGGGTTGCCTTTTGTTTTTATTGTGTTTTTTAGACTGTTGTGGTTTTTAGACTCTTGTGGTTTTTAGACAGTTGTGGTTGTTTTAGACTCTTGTGGTTTTTAGACTGTTAGGCTTTGCTTTAAGATAGTTTTGTGGGGGGGTTTGACAATTTTTGGTTCTGTTTGGCTTCTGTTCAAACTTCTCATTTGCCATTAGGACCTGTTCTAGGGGCTTCATGTTTGAGAGGGTATCTGAAGGCTCTTCTCAAGTTTGGGGTGCATTTAAAAATTACTGAAGACTTTTTAAAAAGGATTGTCTCTCAGTCTTGGAAGAACACGAATGCAAGCTATCAGATTCTCCAGAACTCTTCATCAGGCTAGATTTGTTATTAAAATCTGCCCCCAAAGTGAGGGGGAAGATGTTTCAGGCCATGATCTTTGCTTGCAACATCCTCCCCCCTTTTTTTGGGAGGGGTGACAATAACAAACATCTAGCCTCGTGAGTTCTGGAGAAATCAAAATGCTGTACTATATTCTGTAATTTTATTTATGGATTTTGCTAGGGGTACACACTTCAAAAATATCATTTTAATATCATTTTGTAATTTTAGAAAGGGCATGATTATCATTTTTACTCCATTTGGGGAATATTGGGGAGTTTCATAGATTAGTATAGAAAAGGGGTTTTTTTTCATTAATACTGGATATCCACCACATTAATTCCTGTGAAAAAATAAAGTCAGCTTTTTGGAGTGGTTTTTTTTTTTGGGGGGGGGGAATAGGACCAAAATTTTAGGTAACCTAGTTTTCCCTCTACTACAGCCTAGGGTTGCCAGACTCTGCAACCCTAGGCTGTGCCAGGCTGTGCACAAAGAGGGTTGAGAGGTGGCAGCGTCCCAGGAGAAAATTAAAAAGAATTAATAAGGCCTTATCTACTTGCAGAGAATTCTTAGAGTTCCTGGCGATTCCTGGAGCTACCCAGAAATGACAAAGAGTAACTCTAGGAACCACCAGAAACTCTATACTTAAACCAGATGTTCTTACCATTGCATTTCCAGAAATGCCTAGAGCTACCCGTTGTCATTTCTGGGTAGCTCCAAGGAATCACCAGAAGCCCTATGGCAAGAACTTCCTGTGATTAGACAAGATCTTGCTTTTCTTTTTAATTTTTCTCCTGTTGCTGCTTCCAGTGATGGTGGGCAATGAAACCTGACCCCCCAAATTTGAAGTAAATTGGACAAAGGGGTATGATTTTATGGGTCCCTGAAGAAGGCACTTCAGCTATCCTTGTCTCCTTTGTTGACTGTTGTGCTTTTCCCCCCACAGGAAACAATGGAGACAGGGATGGTAGAGGGCACATTCTTCAGGGTCCATAAAGTCTTATCCTTTGTCCAATTCTCTTCACACTGGAGGGGTCTGTAGTAGGGAGGGAGGACTAGGTTACCTGAGATTTGGGTGCCATTTGCTTTTTAAATAGCCACTTTGAAAGCCTTAATTTATTCCCATAGATAATGATGGGAGAATATCCAATATTAATTATAATTGATTTTTCCATGAGGGAGGGAGGACTAGGTTACCTGAGATTTTGGTGCCATTTGCTTTTAAAATAGCCACTTTGAAAGCCTGAATTTATTTTCCCATAGGTAATGATGGGAGAATATCCAATGTTAATTAAAATTGATTTTTCCACAACATGACTTTTCAATAACAATACTACTGATATTGAATGAAAACAAAAATTATGCCCCTCCTGATATTATGATATGAAAGTAAAATGATAAGGATGAAGTGCACACCACTACTCTACATTTGGCAGATTTGATGTTATTCAGGTGTCTACTTCTTAAGAGGCTGAACCAGGAGCCCCCACAATCACATCCTGCCTCACCATGTTATTCTGTTGCTGAGGGTGTTCTTGTAGCATAAATCCCTTGCACATCTCCTTTTGAATGTCAGCGAACAGATCCTCCTGAAGAGTGCTTAAGGGAATCCTAGGAAGGGTGACATGGGAAAGGCTTAGGCCAAATAGGTTTCAGTATCTTCTTTGATGAGGTAGACCACATGATTTCCATGCATGGTATGGTGAAGACAGAGGTTCCTGCAGGTGTCTCTGTAGTGACCGGTGATTCAGCCACCTAGTTCCCAGAACTCTTCCCCAAGTCCCAAATCTAGAAGGAGAAACCTTTGACTCACAAACAAGTTCCTCCACATTCACTCCTTGGGAGACACCCATTTGCCTGCTTGCTGTTCTTAAACATCTGACGCAAGGTAAAGGCATGGACAGTGTGAAACACACAGCTGCACCCCTAGTTATATAGGTAGGGATTGTTCATTCTGTGCCAGAGAGGTCAGAACAGAAACAGTGTGTACATGGAGAGGAAACTGCACTCAGGTTTTGGGAAAGGTATGGTGCCTGGATGGGAGAAATGTGGTAGATGTAAAAGGGAGAGGTGCCTAGTGGGAAAGCTTCAGGGTCTAAGGAATTAGCACATGCCTCAGTTTATCTCTTTGGATGAGACGCTTCAAAAATCTATCAAACTGTGCCTATTTGTGCAACACTTATCTATTGATCCCTTGACAAATTAGTAAGTATTAAAGGGGTCAACTTTAACATGCAGTTTTGTTCTGTTTTTACACTGTTAATAACTTTTGTCTTAAGCGATTAATTATATCGTTATGTTCTTGGATTATCAATTATCTTGAATGTGGGTTAAAAGGAATTATAATTTCAAGGTAATTTTTTTTTTTAAGCGCATATTCATAGTTGTAACCTGACTCTTCACTTTAAAGCTCATTTCTAGAACATTTGCTTACCGGGAACTCTTTGAAAATGTGACTAGAGGGTTTGGAATCCAAAAATACCAAGTTGTAAGAATACATTAATAATGATCATTTTGTAATATCTTTTAGGGTTTGCTGCATGGGTGTTTTCACCCTGAGATTATTAAATCTGCCACCAATCTAACCCATGATCTATAATATCTCCCTATCCACAGAAAAGGACAGTTCCATTTGTGAGAACAGGCTGAGCCTATATTTTTTATACATCCATGCTTTCCTCACTTTGTGGTAGATTTGCTTATAACCACTTTCGTTTTGTCTTTCTTCAGCTGAATGCTGCTTGTGACCGAGAGCAGCCATGTCCGAGGGCAAAGCCAGAAAGGAAGCTCCTACTGCTGCCTCAGCTGAGTGCCCTGTATGTTACGAGACATTCCAGTCTCCAGCAGTATCTCGTCGGATACTGAGCTGCGGGCACACCTTTTGCCATGACTGTTTGGTGAAGTGTTTTCTCGCTTCACAGGCCAATGGCCGGCTCCAGAATGGCCTTGTGTGCCCCATCTGTCGCTTCATCACTTTGCTCTGCCGAAAGAGGACCTGCTGGCATTCCAAGCCAGACCCAAACACTCACTCACTAGAATTGCCACTCTCACCCTCCTCGTTACCCTGTGGAGTGCCTTTGGGGTCTACAAACACTTTGGTGGTACCTGGCCATTTCCTTCAACTTCATGGGTATAACGGCCGCTGGAGCATGTGTGGCTGCCCGAATATGGACTCAATGGTGTTTCCTCCTGGCTTGGAGCAGGAACCCAGCATTTTCATTATCAGTCAGTGTGGAATGCCACTGATTGAAGAGAACTATGGTCCCGTGGCTCAAGACACCCGCGTGGAAGTTCCAGGATCAGTGGAGTCCCAGAGTTCTCTAGGGATCGGCTGCTTCCGGTCACCCATCATGTTGGCAATTTTCCTTGTCTCTGCTGTTGCTCTGTTGGGGGCTGTGCTCCCTTGGCTGTTACTTGTGAAGAAGAATGAATGAACATGTTGGATGGACTCCCTTATATGTCTAATATGCAGAAACATCCACGTGGAGATACCAGCTGAACAAAGCAAAAGATTTGTAGGGTCTAGACAGATGGAAGATAGGTAGAGGGAACAGAGGTTGCAGGAGATGGTATCTGTATCTCGTCAAGGAAAATTTTCCCAGGTACACAGGAACAAGAAGGATCACCTACAGAAATGGTTTGGTCATCCTGTTAAGGATATTAGTTATGTTATTGTTTATTGGGTGCATTTATATCCTGACCTTCCTCCAAGGAGATCACATTATATTTTCACAATTTTCCTTAAGATACAGAAACATTGCCCAAGACCAGATTCAATATAAGCCAGTTCAGAAGAGACACTGGGAATTTCATGATCACCACCACAGTTTCCTCTAAGCTGTGCTGGGGGTGCTGGCACATAACATTTCAGAGGCCAGCTCAGAGGATTTCTGCTTCAGCTCACAAACAAGCTTCCATAGGAAACAATGGAGAATGGGGACATCTCCTTCTGGAGCCCAAAGAATTGGACCCTCTGGTCCAATCTTTTTGGAACTTGGGCTTCTTCTTTTTTGAGGAGATGTACCAGCAGCTATCCTTCAACTTTGGTGCCTCGACCTCAAAAAACAACTCCCCCCCAGAGCCCCAGATACCCCTGGATACATTGACTATAATGGTCACCATAGGCTATAATTGAGCCAGAAAAAAATGATTTTTTTTGTGCACCCCTATAATGCTTTTCAGTATGATTTGTAAGCTGCCTTGAGTCACAGGGAAAAGTGAGATATAAATATCTGAATAAATAACATTTAACCAACTTCTTGTTTGATAGGTTAGACAGTGTTCTGACAGTGGTTGTTCCACCTCTGTTATACTTGACCTGTAATGCTGTAGTGGACTAGGGCGGGTAGACCTGTTTTCTGGAGGCCAGGTCTACCAATATAGTGGACTGGGACAGGAAGATCTGTTGCCTGGAGGCCTGGTCTACCCCTGTAGAGGACAACATTTTGTGTAATGAAATTTGACTTGATTCTGTTTTCTCTTATAATGTTTAAATGATTCTTAAAATGAGTTTAAATATAGTTTAAAAAATTAATTCTGAGATTTTTACAAGGTTATGGAAATAATGTATGCAATAGTTAAATGTAGATTTGCTCACAACTTTAATGCTACTGCTTTTTTCACTCACAAGGTAGAATTTCTGCCCACAGCATCATGGAGCTTAGAGGGAACATTGATCATCACTCCCATTTGCTTTAAAAATGCAGTGATCAGGCATGCTGGGACCAAATTCTGACGGAGACTACAGCAATGTCTTCAAATGGCCCTAGGCAGATGATGTTTGCCCATATTGGACAAGTGTACAGAATAGATAGATACCTGTATCTGTGCCTGCATGTTTTCCCAGAAGGGTACAGAGCAGCTCCCTGGAGCCATTTCAGGTCAGAACAATGGCCCAGGGAAAAGCTTGAAACCCCTTCCCCCATGTCAATCAAAATTGGATCCCTTTA